TATTAAATTTACAAAATTAAAACCATGTTTCAACAGTAAGCAAAATAATCAAGTGATGACAAAGACAACTAAAAAAAAATAAACACAATTATGTTTAAGATAACAAAAAAAAAAAAAACATTTAAAATTGAAGCTGTTATTATTTGTTACTATAAATAGTAAAATTCATACTTTGCATTATTTTAAAGTGTCTAATGTAAAGTCAAATAATAGACATCAACACCGCTTGACACTGAATTCTGTCAAGTAAGTTTTCGATTCATCAAGCAAAATTCCTTATATTTCAACGACAATTAATTTTATTACGCCTAGATCTATTTCTTTCATATGACAACAATTTCAAGTCACCTATAACCATTTACACTAATAACTTCTTTGAGCCTAATATTATACATCTGTTATCATTTAATATATATTACCAGTGATTATACTACTGTTACAACTGAATAAATGAACGTTTTATATTTTTACAACTGAAAAATATAAAAAGAAATTTATTGACATTATTTTAATTTAGCAAAGAATTTAGAACACAATGCAAAGTTATTTGCATTGTGTTCTAAATTCTTTGCTAAATTAAGAAAGCCTTCGGACACAATCTTAATGCACAAAAATAATAAATGCAGAATCATTTCATAATATATAATAAGCAATGTCAGTCTAAAGTAATATATATATGTATGTATATATATTCAAATTTTTTCTATTCTTAATTTTTTCTTTGAGATAATATTCATATAGATTCAGAGAAATATAAAATATTTTGATATATAGGCACATTTATGTATATAAACTAACCTGTCAAAAATTAGTCAGTTTTCCATGTTAAATACATAAATATAAAAAGAAGTTGACAATGCACAGTATCATTAAAATATAAAATTAAACAAAACATACTCAAATCAGTAACAGTTCGACTGTCTAAATGTCTAAACTTACTCAAATCAGTAACAGTTCGACTGTCTAAATATTTTTATTAACCCTTCTATTTAAAAAAAGAAACAAATGATTAGAAGTGACTAAAAAGCACTTTAGCTCTTTCCAATTGCACTAAAAAATAAAATAAATCTTGCTTTGCTAAGTTGCCTAGTTCTAGAATCTGAAAACAAATAAGTAAAAAACCAAGAACAAACAAACATTTATTTACTAAAACTACTCTATTTAAACAAATTAAATTAAACAGAGAACAACATTGATACTTCTTGAAAGCTGAAAAACTTTTTATCTCAAATTTGCATGTAGACCTTGCTTATAAAACCACTTGAATAAGAAAAGCATCACAAAAGCCTAGAAGCTACTTAAAAATGATATATGCAACAATGAACTTTAAATGTTAATTGGAGTAGATTTTTTTTAAAAATTCAAAATGATTTGTTCTTCTATAGCAAATAAATACACCATAAATCTGAAGTTAAAAATGTAACAAAGAAAAACATCATATGTGAATTGAAAATTAATGTACCTGATAGAGATAAGCTGTGGTGATACCTGAGTAGTAGTTGCTAAATATTATTTTTTTATGATAAACAAATTGTATTTATAGCGAAATGAATTTCAGTAAATAAATAAAAGCAGTGAGTTCTAATAATGAAACTACTTATTAATCATTTTTAACAGCTGACACCAACGTAAAAATAAACCAAAGGTAACAACATTACGCAAAAAATTATTAAAGATAAAGCAATGTGTTTTAACAACAGTTATATTAAAGGCTAGGCAACACTTAGACCTAAAGCAGTAACATCGCTTGACTGGTAAGGTTGATAAATCTTGCTCTACACGTTTGCCAAGTCACTTCACTTTGAAATCATGGAAACAACATTATATAAACATATATACTAATTATAAAACAATATATTTTTTTAATGTTACTTAGCATATAAAAACACCCCATTTAACAATCTTGCAGAAATTAGATATATTACATTTCATACTATTATAAAAACACATTTATAAAACAACTATATAACATATATCACCACATACACGTATTTATCAAAAAAATTTTAACTTTGATCATAATATACATGCAAACATATATGCAAACTTTTAACAACTATAACACAACATTTATTAGCATCAATTATTTTAAATGTACAAAGAATGCAGACTATAATGCACGACATTGTTAATAAAAATGAAGTTATGTTAGTCAGTATATATTTATCTAAAGTAATGAAAAAGAATAAACCATTTAAAAACAAAATTAAAAATTTCTAATGAGTATATATTTAGATACCTTAAAATGAAGCATAACACAACACTCTTTTGACAAATTCCACAGAATTTTTCTACTCCTTATCATTTTTCCTTAGAGAAAATATACATATAGATATAAAATATAAAATAGACTGAAATAAACGCAAACTTATGTATATAAACTTACATGACCACAAATAACAGTCTTATTTTATTTAACATTTCATATTAAATACATAAATAAAATTTTATTCTCATTATTCTTTCTATATAAAAAAAATCTTAGCCTATGTATGAGAAAATGAAGTAAACTTACTAAAAAAGCGATCATTTCGTCTTAACTGCTCTAAAAATTAAAGCAAATACTTGCTTAAAATGTTTTAAAAAGACTAATGACAGAACTGAAACAGTTTTCTTAAAAAAGAAACATTGTGCTAATAAAACTATTTTACCAGTCAATTTAGTTCTAACTTCTTTTAAAAAATGATAAATAAATACATAATTAGATACCTTAAAATGAAGCATAACACAACATTCTTTTGAGTCAAAAAAATTCTTCTGGAATTTGTCAAAAATGGACAAATTCCAGAAGAATTTTTTTTTCCAGAGCTTTTTTTATTTTTCTATTCTCAATAACTTTTGCTAAGAGAAAATATACATATAGTATAGATATAGAGAAATATAAAATAGACTAAAATAAACGCAAACTTATGTATATAAGCTTACATGAACACAAATAACAGTCTTATTTTATTTAACTTTTCATATTAAATACATATATAAAACTTTATTTTATAATTCTTTTTGCAAAAAACAATCTTTATCTATAAATAAGAAAACGAATTGAACTTACTAAAAAAACCATCAGCTTCTCCTAACTGCTCTAAAAAATAAAACAATACTTGAAAATGTTCTAAATAGACTCACGACAAAATGAAACAGTTTACTAAAAAAGAAACATTTTACTAAAAAAACTATTTTACCAAACATTTTAGTTAACTTCTTCTAAAAAATAAAAACAGGCTATAAAAATGAGAAAAAAAAAATAAGCAACAACAAACTAACAATTATTTAAATTTTTATTTTAAAAAATAAACAATATCAATTCTTTTTGAAAATAAGTGCACCAGCTCCAATTTGGTTGCTGATTATACTCGTAAGACCGCGTGGAACATATAACTGCGCTTAGAAAAGTTTAAAAACTAAGAAATAGTGTATTTTACATAATGCAGAACCGTAATTAACAAAACGAACAATAGGCGTAACAATGCGTAACTATGCGCACTATTAATATTCATAGGCTATTCATTATAGGCGGATTAAATTGTTGTTATTCATCTATGCAGTAATTGTTTTAGTTACATGGTAGATTGTTACGTTTTGTCAGTACATAACTGTTTGTAACTTTCCTGTCTATGCATCATATTTAATTGTTTTAAAATTGATATTGGTTTATTATTGTATAATTTTCTTATTATTTTTATAACTTATAATTTATCATCATTATTATTATCATTACTATTTGTATTATTAATCCTATTTCATGGTATTTACTTATGACTAGTATTTAACTATTTGTAAATGACCTCAATTATAAGATCTTTTATCGAAAATATATTGATATTGGTATATAATATAAATAGTAATAAAATTTAACATAGAAAATAATTCGAGTTTAATGTCACCACAAGGTATATATAGGTTGTAATAATGTTTAACTTTGACATTTTCTTTTTGAATTTAGCATCACCGTAAGGATTATATAATATAAATCCAAATTAAATTTACGTTATGTCTAGCGCAACGGTACCGTTGCTTTAATTTTTTTCTTAAAGTCACGGTAGTAAAGTTTGATTGGTTTATTTTAAGTCATGGCTGCGAATATGATTGGTTGATTTTGAAAAATTTATTTGTACATAAAAAAATAAAACTTCTTGAACCAGTAGTGTGTTTAGCATTGTGGTAGCTGATTTATTATCATCTCGCGGTGATCCGGGATCAAATCCTTCGTTTAGTGAAATGTTTTTATATGTTTTTTAACTATTTTTTTTTATTGAAAGTTACATTGATTTTTATTATTTACAAACATCAACTGATATATAGGGATAGGCGCAGTGAGTGTACATACATCCACTGATTTAGGGATAGGCGCAGTGAGTGTACATACTTCAATTAAGGGGTTTTGGTTTGGGCATGCATTATTTAAAAAAAGAAAAAAAAAATCAACCAATTAGAAATCACTACCGTGACTTTAAGAAAAAAATTAAAGCGATGGTACCGTTGCGCGAGCAACAACGTTAAATTTAACATAGAGAATTTTTTTTTTCATATAGTGTCTCCATAAGAAATATATGATATAAATAGTAATGAAGTTTAAAATAAAAATACAATTAGAGTTTAATGTCACCACAAGGTTTATATAGTATAATTTGTAATAATGTTTAACATAGAGATTTTATTTTAGTGTTTAGTGTCACCATTAGGAATATATAATATAAATCGTTATAAAATTTAACATATAAATACAATTAGATTTTAATGTCACCACAAGGTATCAAATATAAGTAATACAATTTAACACAAAGATGATATATTTAAAGGAATATATATCTTATAAATTCTAATGAAGTTTAACAGAGATTTAATCACAGAGTTTAATTTTGCAATATATATAGGTACTGGCAGTAATCGTGTGCGCACCTTTACACCTGTGTAAATTGTTTTGCACTTGAAATGTAAACTGACTGTAAATATTTTATTTTTTTGTTTTTTTATATATTTTGTCTTTTAACTTTTTATAGGATTTGGTGTATTTGCTAATTCAAATTTTGATAAAGGATCTTTTTTGCTTGAGTACAGAGGTAGGATTTTTAAATAATTAAATTTCGTGCTGTCCGATTTGTCTTGCGTGCACGATTTAAAATGGCATGTGGGTGAGTGCAAAAGCGCTTGCCAAATTAAAAAGGAAAATATGCAATTTTTTTAATATGATACGTTTTCTGATTTATGTTGAGTAAAATAAATTGTTATTTTCTAATCGATTAAAACCATATTTATAAGAAATTTTTATTTAATTTGCCTTATTTTGTGTTATATTATTCAAATAAAAATTTAAAAGTTTAATTTACTACGTGCTTGCCTTGTAAGCAATAGATTCTGAGTTTGACTACCACCACGTCCCACAGTGCTCAACATATTTTCTCTGCACAGCAGATTATTCATCAAGTTTTTTTTCGTAGTAACAGTTAAGAGCAGTAATAGGAATCTTATAAAATAAGTATTCTTTTTGACTGAATTTTGGGAGCTATATTATTAGATCGATGCTATTGACCAGCTGTTATTTTGAGCGCTCAAATAGTGATATGGTTTTTTTATTTACTTTTTTTTTTTCAATAATTTTGTCTTATTTCTCATGTCTGCACTATGGAAAATCTAAATAAGAAAAGCAAGCTTTTAATAATTTTATTTTTATAAATATTTTATATTTATTCTTAATTATATTTATCAATTTATAAGTTGAAATATTTTTATCACTAATAATATACTAGTATTTTTTTAATATATAAAATTGTCCATTATCTAATTTTTAAGGAGAGATTATTTCTGAAAGAGAAGCAGCCACCAGACTTAAAACTTATGAAAAAAATGAAATTGGGTGTTTTATATGTCATGGAATTAAAGATGTGTATGGTAAATCTGTATGGTATGTATGTAAACTGAAATTCTACATTTTATGTCATTTTTTTATTTGAGACATTTTAGCCTAGTGAAATTTGAAACTATTACCTAGTGAATATTTAAAACTATTTAGTTATAATGCTTTAAAATAAGGTTTTTTTTTATGAAATCCACTTGAAATCCATTACAAAAATAATCAATTGACACTTGAAATAATCGAATCAACATCGAATCCACTGTAAAAATAATGAAATGACAAAAGTATAAAAAATAATATAGTTGCCTTATTTTTGTTAACTATTTCTTTCAGTATCGATGCTACTAACCAGGTGGACTCGCTTGGAAAAATGGTGAATGACTCACCAATAAATTTTGCTAACTCAATAATGAAGAGAATTGTTATTTCAAGTTGTGTCCATCTCTGCCTGTTTGCTTTAAAGTCTATTGATATAGGGACAGAAATTAGGTTCACTTTTATTACTTTCACTTTTAGATAATGCTAATGTAAAAAAGAGTTCTAGCTTTTTGAAATTAAACTCTTTATATAAAGTATTTTCCGTGAAAGTCAAATTTATAATTTTTCACAGGTATGATTATGGTGATCATGATGAATTGATGCATTGGAGAAAGCAGGTAAATATTTTTATTTAGTCAATGTTGTCATTTAAAATTCATTAAAAATATTCTTTGAATATTTTTTTTTAATATGTTGAAAAGATTTTTCTTTTACTTCATTTACCTAAGTTTTCAATTTTCTTTTTCTTAATTCAAATTATGTGTGTGACGGTCATTTGGTACAACTTAACTATCTAATCATTCGATTAGGCTTATTTTTTTAAACTTTATATATTTACATTTTAGTACATTTTTTCATTAATTTCTTATAGTAATTTTTATCAGTTTAGATATTTAGTATTTGTTATATTAATTTTGCAGATGATTGTTTTCATGTAGAAATCATCGTGGCATCCTTATACTCTAGCTCAACTAACACCAGAAAATAATAAAATTTTGGAAGTTTCTAAATTTAATGAAAGTTTACCCCATTCAACTCCAAAGGTTGGTTAAGAAGTTTTATCTTAATTAAAAAATTTTAAGAATTTGTATTTTTAATATTAATTTTGCATATTGTTTGTTTTCATGTAGAAGTCATCATGTAATCCTTATACTCAACCAACATCAGAAAATGAGGAAATGTTTAGAGTTTCTAAATTTAATAAAAGTTTAAACTCCTCAACGCCAAAGGTTGATTTTGAAGTTTCATCTTCTTCAAAATGTTTAGCAGATATAGTAGATTTGGATTTTTATGATTCAGATTCCAGTATAGAATATCTACCGTCATCACTCAATATTTTGCTAGCTAATGCAACTCAAGTAAAAGATAATTTCAACCATAAAAGTGATTTAGAAACAGAACTTTTGCCGTCTGTGCTTAATTGTAGTGGGTATAAAACCCATGCACCAATTGATAGTTTTGGTACAACATTAGATGACTCTTCGGTTGTTGCAACTTATGGTGATGATTCCTCAGAAGAATCAGTTGAATTCAATAATAATGATTCTTTAACAGAAAGAGGTTTTTTAAATAAAAATATAGAAACAATTTGTTTTCAAAAGACTTTTAAAAATAAGAAAGATTCTTTAATAGAAATGAAATCTAAAAATGAATTCTTAGAGAAAAAGTAAAAAAAACCTTCTCGCCTTTGCATGTTTTGCCAAAAGACACAGACAAGATTGAAGCGACATATTCTTAAAAAACACAAAAATGAACCTTTAGTAATACCAATTTTATCTATGAATAAAAAAGAACAAGATAGAGAACTAGATGTTTTGCGAAAGAAAGGGATTAGAAATTATAACTCTGTTATTTTAAAAACAGAAAATAATGAGTTTATGAGAGAGCGTCGTAATTTCAATTGTACGCAAGATATGCCAGTTATGTGCTCTGAATGTAAAGGGTTCTTTTCAAAAAAATTTAAAGCTAGACATCAACTAAATTGTCCAGCATCCAATATAAATGTTATGGTGCCTATTGTTTCTTTAACATCCATAATTAAAGTTGATGAATATCCTGATGATTTTAAAGAACTCTTAAGTACTTTGATACTCGATGAAGTTGGAGATTGTGTTAAAACAGATGAAATTATTTTAATGGTTGGATTAAGGTCATTTGACTCACTTAAAAAAAAAAAAAGATAAATTCATAGAAGGTCGTAGAACTGTACGTACACGAATGCGTTTGTTAGCTCGCATATATCTATTGTTTAAGTTGTACTACAAGCAACAAACAAGTGTTAAACTGGTTTTAGAAATGAATAATGCAGCTGATATGTTCCGCAGGGAAACCATGGATATCTTGAGCAAATCAATAAATAAACTTTGTGAAAACCCTGATACAGAGTTAAAAGAATTCTCTATTTCTGGCCAGAAAAGTGGACTCAAAATAAGTATATTAAATATCATTAAACTGTCTGGTAAAATAATTATAGGTCATTTTTTAGTTCAAAATGAAGATGAAAGATCTAATAGAGTAGTGGATTTTCTAAAGGTATTTAAGTTATTTGAAAACCAAATATTTGGAGATGCATATTATGATCTGAACTACAGGAAAAATAAAAGTTTGCGGAAACCAATAAACTTGCCAAACGATGCAGATGTGATCTTATTATTTGAGGAGTGCAAAGCTATTATGTTGTCGATAGATTTGTATGAGCACCCATTAAGTAATTATGTTAAAATTAGATCTGCGACTGCTACTTATCTAATAATCTTTAATGCTCGCCGAGGTGGAGAACCTGTAAGACTTCAAATATACCAGTGGACTGAAGCTGTTAACGGAGAGTGGGTTATCAAAGGTGACCTTCCAAAAGACTTTGACCATAGTACTATGCTTATAACATACCAAACAGGCAAAGGGGGCGATCATTTAGTACCCTTAATTTTTCCATTAGAAACCATAAAAGCGATGGAGTATTTGACAAATGAAAAAGTGCGTTTAGAAGGTGAAATTCACAAAGAAAACGAATATATTTTTGCTAGCACTCAAAACAGTCTAGGTCATGCTAGTGGTTGGCACTGCATTAATGATATCTTAAAACGACTAAATCTTAAAGGAGCAATTAATGCAACAAAAAACAGGCACAGAGTTGCTTCATTACTTGCTAAATTGCATCTTTCAAAAAAAGAACAAGAACTAATATTTCAACATTTTGGTCATTCTGAACGAATGAACAAAGATGTATATCAAGCTCCTCCTGGATCTATGCAATTACAGACAACTGGTCAATTTTTGTTGCAAATTAATTCAAGTAGCAATAATACTTCAGCACAAACTATTTCAAATACTGATGATCTTTCGTGTGTAGCAAGTGTTTCAACTCCCAATTTGTATGAAGTCAATATGGAAGGAAATGGTAATCATGATTAATAAGTTTAAGACTATGAGTTGATACTTTAATATATGTGTCAGCTTATCATGAGTTTATCATGTAAGATTATTATGGCAGTTATTGTTTAGGAATTTTTTAAAATGATTATTAATTATTATTTCTAACAAATTGGTTCCATTTTTATATTTTTATGTGGAAATGATTATCACCTTTAGATAAAATTAAAAATGTGAAATGTTATCCTAAACGAGTAAGACCAAAAGGTTGGTTTAATATTTATTCAATACTCTGGTTTTGCTAATATTATATTTGAAATATTGTGATTCAAATTTACACAAATTTTGTTTAGCCAATAGCGTTATCAAAAATTCAGGTTCTGGCTGCAACGGTAGGTTTATAATCGTTTTTATTTATAATTGCTTTTTTATTCATCACGCATAAAAAAATATTAAAATAATTGTAATAAATACTAATATGAAGCATGTTAAATTGAATAATAAAAATAATTGTGATAATAATAAGAACTAGCAAAAAGCAACCCGTAATACGGGTTTTGGTCGGTCTGCTACATAGTTAATTTATAGTGGCTGTTTTACAAAATTTAATGTTGCAAAACCTTAACTAATACCCTTTTAGAAAATCGCCTTCAGCTTGAAAAAATTAATCCATCTGTAAAATTAACATAAAAAGTATGAGGAGGTAAAATAATTTACCAACTACTACTAAACAATTACTACTTAACATTATTTAAGTAATTTACAAATGGCATAGGTCATAACCGTGAAAGGCAGAACCATTTTCATCGACCTTCCTAAGTTTAACACAATACGTTTTTAGTTACTGACACAAAATAATAACACTTGGTCATGCTTTAAATTGACGAATGTGTCAACTAAATCCTTGTAATAATTTTTATAATACGAACCATTAAGATTAAAATGAAGTTAACTTATATTATACAGGAGTTATCAATTTTTTGGTATCCCCTTGATTAATTATTCTTTAGAAAAGAAAATTGTTAACTTAAAAATGTTAAATGCACACATTTAAATAAATTTAAAAAAAATAACAAAGTTTATTATAAATAACTACGCAACTGAGTACAAATACCTTTCAAACAAAAAAAATTAAATTTACGATCAAACATGGGTATAACAAATTTTTTAATGCATAAATGCATCATATGACAAACCTAAAATAAAAATTATAAGAGATAAGTAGACATAAAAATTTGTAAACCAAGCTGACCCGACCCGAGTCTTGTTAAGTCTATTCAACACAGACCATTTCTATATTATTTGTTTGGCCTCTTTATTTCATTAATTTTAAGTAAACGGTAATTTGCCACCATTTACTAAAAATTCCTATTGTAACTCGAAATTTAATTTTCCTAAATATTTTGACTCTAATAAAGAGGTTCCTTCCCTCTTTTTGCTTTAATGGTGACCAGGTGAATAAAATAATAAAATGTAAAACAATGATCTACATATATAAGAATGTTTTCTTTCTTTCCTCAAAAGTGTTGCAAATACAGACTAAGCTAACTAATTAGTTAAACACATATGCGCAAAACTACAATATTCTCCATGTTTTTAAAGGTTTTTAGTTACGACCCCCCATTTACAAAGATCCCCTTAAAATACGTACAACAAATTATTAGGCCTAAAATAAATAAAATATAAAATTAACTAATAGCATATATTTATATCTTTTTAACTAACAAAAATTTACAATAAAAAGAAATCAGGTTATTTTATTTTATAAATCTTATAAATGCGTCATAACGTAATTCTAAAATAAAAAAGTAATGAAATTATGATATCATAATTACAAAGAAAAAAAAAAAAAAAAAAAAACACCACACAATTACCAAAAAATCGATTTACCCATTTATAGTAACCTATTTTGAAATTGCAGTTAAAGATTTATCGAAAATGTAACTATAAAACCTGTTTCGAAGTACCAAAGCAATACTAAAAGTACCTAAGTAATACTAAAAAAAAAATCAAACTAAGATATAAATTGTTGTTTTGGCTTTTATAATTTAAACATACATACAAATATAAACAAATATGACTTTATGTAACACGTATAAACACATTTTACAACTATTGAATGAAGAGAGGAAGTGTTTTAAAAACAGCATGTTAGAAAAAGTAAAAAAGTCATGCAATAAATAACAGTAACTGGTTTTTAAAAAAAAATTATTTTTACCTTGACTAAAAATTAGTTTCCAGCATTTCTTGATTAAGTTCCAGCTTCTCTCGAACTGTTGACAAATGATTAATATTGTAAATTTCACATCATATTAAATTTACAAAATTAAAACCATGTTTCAACAGTAAGCAAAATAATCAAGTGATGACAAAGACAACTAAAAAAAAATGAACACAATTATGTTAAAGATAACAAAAAAAAAATAAAAAAAATAAAAAAAAAAAAAAAAAAAAAAATTTAAAAATGAAGCTGTTATTATTTGTTACTCTATATAGTAAAATTCATACTTTGCTTTATTTTAAAGTGTCAAATGTAAAGTCAAATAATAGACATCAACACCGCTTGACACTGAATTCTGTCAAGTAAATTTTCGATTCATCAAGCAAAATTTCTTATATTTCAACGACAATTAATTTTATTACGCCTAGATCTATTTCTTTCATATGACAACAATTTCAAGTCACCTATAACCATTTACACTAATAACTTCTTCGAGCCTAATATTATACATCTGTTATCATTAAATATATATTACCAGTGATTATACTACTGTTACAACTGAATAAATGAACGTTTTATATTTTTACAACTGAAAAATATAAAAAGAAATTTATTGACATTATTTTAATTTAGCAAAGAATTTAGAACACAATGCAAAGTTATTTGCATTGTGTTCTAAATTCTTTGCTAAATTAAGAAAGCCTTCAGGCACAATCTTAATGCACAAAAATAATAAATGCAGAATCATATCATAATATAATATAATAAGCAATGTCAGTCTAAAGTAATATATATATGTATGTATATATATTCAAATTTTTTCTATTCTTAATTTTTTCTTTGAGATAATATTCATATAGATTCAGAGAAATATAAAATATTTTGATATATAGGCACATTTATGTATATAAACTAACCTGTCAAAAATTAGTCAGTTTTCCATGTTAAATACATAAATATAAAAAGAAGTTGACAATGCACAGTATCATTAAAATATAAAATTAAACAAAACATTAAACTTACTCAAATCAGTAACAGTTCGACTGTCTAAATATTTTTATTATTAACCCTTCTATTTAAAAAAAGAAACAAATGATTTGTAGTGACTAAAAAGCACTTTAGCTCTTTCCAATTGCACTAAAAAATAAAATAAATCTTGTTTCGCTAAGTTGCCTAGTTCTTAAGAATCTGAAAACAAATAAGTAAAAAACCAAGAACAAACAAACATTTATTTACTAAAACTACTCTATTTAAACAAATTAAATTAAACAGAGAACAACATTGATACTCCTTGAAAGCTGAAAAACTTTTTATCTCAAATTTGCTTGTAGACCTTGCTTATGAAACCACTTGAATAAGAAAAGCATCAAAAAAGCCTAGAACCTACTTAAAAATATATATATCAAACATTGAACTTTAAATGTTGATTGGAGTAGATATTTAAAAAAATTCAAAATGATTTGTTCTTCTATAGCAAATAAATACACCATAAATCTGAAGTTAAAAAAGTAACGAATAAGTAAATACAAAGAAAAACAATGTATATGTAAAAATATGTGAATTGAATATCTGAGTATCACAACTGCTTATCTCTATCAGGTACTGATAGAGATAATAAACTGTATTTGTTTATCATGTATCAGATACTGATACATGATAAACAAATTGTATTTATAGCGAAATGATGTCTTGAATGAATTTTAGTAAATAAATAAAAGCAGTGAGTTTTAATAATGAAACTACCTATTAATCATTTTTAACAGCTGACACCAACGTAAAGATAAGCCAAAGGTAACAACATTACGCGAAAAATTATTAAAGATAATGCAATGTGTTTTCAGAATAGTTATATTAAAGGCTAGACAACACATATACCTAAAGCAGTAACATCGCTTGACTGGTAAGGTTGATAAATCTTGCTCTACACGTTTGCCAAGTTACTCCACTTTAAAGTCATGGAAACAACATTATATAAACATATATACTAATTATAAAACACAATATATTTTTTTAATGTAACTTAGCATATAAAAACACCCCATTTAACAATCTTGCAGAAAATAGATATAATACATTTCATACTATTATATAAACACATTTATAAAACAACTATACAACATATAACACCACATTCACGTTTTTATCAAAAACATTTTAACTTTGATCATAATATACATGCAAACATATATGCAAACTTTTAACAACTATAAAACAACATTTATTACCATCAATTATTAAAAATGTAACAAAGAATGCAGACTACAATGCACAACATTGTTAACAAAAATGAAGTTATGTCAGTCAGTATATATTTATCTAAAGTAATGAAAAATAATAAATCATTTAAAAACAAAATTAAAAATTTCTAATGAATATGTATTTAGATACCTTAAAATGAAGCATATCACAACAGTCTTTTGACAAATTCCAGACAAGTTTTTTAATTTTTTTTATTCCTTATTATTTTTCCTTAGAGAAAATATACATATAGATATAGAGAAATTTAAATATACTGAAATAAACGCAAACTTATGTATATAAACTTACATGACCACAAGTAACAGTCTTATTTTATTTAACTTTTCATATTAAATACATAAATAAAATTTTATTCTCTTTATTCTTTCTATATAAAAAAATCTTAGCCTATGTATGAGAAAATGAATTAAACTTACTAAAAAAGCGATCAGTTCCTCTAAACTGCTCTAAAAAATAAAGCAAATACTTGCTTAAAATATTTTAAAAAGACTAATGACAAAACTGAAAGTTTTCTTAAAAAAGAAACATTGTACTAATAAAATTATTTTACCAGTCAATTTAGTTCTAACTTCTTCTAAAATGAAAAATAAATACATATTTAGATACCTTAAAATGAAGCATAACACATTGTTTTTTTGACAAATTCCAAAAGAATTTTTTTTATTTTTCTATTCTCAATAACTTTTGCTAAGAGAAAATATTCATATAATATAGATATAGAGAAATATAAAATAGACTAAAATAAAAGCAAACTTATGTATATAACCTTACATGAACACAAATAACAGTCTTATTTTATTTAACTTTTCATATTAAATATCATATATAAAACTTTATTTTATATATAATTCTTTTTGCAAAAAACAATCTTTATCTATAAATAATAAAACGAATTAAACATACTAAAAAAACCATCAGCTTCTCTTAACTGCTCTAAAAAATAAAACAATATTTGCTTAAAATGTTCTAAAAAGACTAACGACAAAATGAAACAGTTTACTAAAAAAGAAACATTTTACTATAAAAACTATTTCACCAAACATTTTAGTTTTAACTTCTTCTAAAAAATAAAAACAGGCTGAAAATAAGTGCATCAGCTCCAATTTGGTTGCTGATTATACTCGTAAGACCGCGTGGAACATTTAACTGCGCTTAGAAAAGTTTAAAAACTAAGAAATAGTGTATTTTACATAATGCAGAACCGTAATTAACAAAACGAACAATAGGCGTAACAATGCGTAACTATGCGCACTAATAATATTCATAGGCTATTCATTATAGGCGGATACAATAGGGACAGCCATTAGGACAACAATCATACAAATTGAAATTAAGTAATTTATTTACAACTTTTTAAATTTCATAAACATTTTTTTAAAACAAGTCGTTTTAATTTCAATGTTTTGAAATATTCATACTAAGTTCATATATCATAGAATTCTTCCTATAGAAAGTTCAATTAATTCAATTAATATAGGAATTCAATTAATATAGGAATGTAATACACATTGAAACTTGTTTATATTTGCAACTGCCTTTTAAAAACTCTAACCGTTCTTGTGGAGGTAAAGCAAAGAAACTAATGTTTCTACATTTTTATTTATTATACATGTTTATTTCTATATAAATAGTTGTTTCTAGATGAAAATATAGATGAAAACTTAGACGAATGCCATGCCCCTGCTTACAATGATTCTCTTTGTAGTACATCTGAAATAAATAAAAAAGGTTAGCAATAAAAAGTTTTTTTAATTTATGCACAAAGATAATTGTTGATACCATTATTTATAGGTGGTGACAATGGAGTTAATAGTTTAATTTCCAAAAAATAACAAGAAAATGTTTATATCCTAAATTAAAATTTGTTCTTTTTTTCTCATTATAATTTATACAGAGGGGTCGCACAAAAAAACATTTAGTAGCTAGAGACTAAATGTACATTAATATAAATTGGATATGATCTTTATAACCATGAAATGCTGTTACTAAAGAGTAATAAGTGATATGCTTTTGTGATGTTTTCATATATTTATTTTAGTATTTATACAAGGTGGCCACAGCTCCTCTAAAATCCTCATTAGTCCTCTTTTTTAAAAAAAACCTCTATAATCCTCTATTATCTAAAAAATTGAAAATATGATCGAATCTCCTCTTTAACTCCTCTTTTTATTTTTTTTATTTCTTGATGGTAGTATAATTTTGGTATTTGAAATTGTATACCATATAATAGATATTTTAAATACCCAATATATGGCAGTATAATGGGTATTTAAGGTACCCATTCCCGGTCAGCAAAACTGGTTAACGCCATTAAGTGCTTCTGATTGTAAAAAATTGCTTTAGTTAATCCATGCCATTTAACATAAAAAATCACATTATTGACCCCTGTCCAAACCCCATAAATGTAGAAACATGGATATTAAACTTATAGTTATAAAAAAAATCCCATATTTTTTTGAAATTTTACAAAAAAAATCCTCTAAATTCGATGCAAAATCTCCTCTAAAATCCTCTAATGTCCTCTTTTATGAAAATATTATGTGGCCACCCTGTTACATATTTTCAGATATTTTTATGGGCTAAAATATCACTTATTACTCTCGAGAATAACTTATTACTTTGAAAATGAGACTCATGACTAAAAATATCACTTATTACACATAAAAATATCACTTATTACTCTCGAGAGTATGTGAGAGAATAAAGCTTAGTAAGCAAGAAAATAATGCCTGGGAATAAACGTGTAGGTAGGAATTTTAGTCCAGATCTAACAAACAATGAGGAGGAATTTAAAAAAAAAATTCAATTTATATTTAAATTAAAAAGTCTTTTAATTTAAATATAAATTCAATTTATATTTAAATTAAAAGTTTTATATTAAAATTAAAAAGTAATTTGATTAATTGAGTTACATTCAAATTAAAAAGTACGAAACACGATTAAAACTATTTAATTCTAGCGTGGCTTGGGGCAGTTTCTAACAGCATAATTTTAAAAGATTTTTTATAATAATTTTAATATAGTTTAATATGCTTATACTTTGGTGAGAAATAAACCAAGTTCATTTTCGGCAAATCGAAAATCAAATAACGACGATTTTTAAAGCCTGTTTACACAACGTTTTCGCTTTTATCGGTGACTGACAATTATTTTTTAATTTTTAAGGCTGATTTTCACAGATATTTTTTTTTTAGCTTATGTAATTTTTGTTAATAAGTGAGTACTTTGACCCACTCTTATGGTATACGTCTCCAAGTTTTTAACTATTATTAAAAATACATTTTGTTATAGATCGTAGTTACCAAATATGGTCAGAGGTAAGCAAGTCTGCTTTTGAGAATGAATTTGCAAGCTACTTAAAAAAGGATAGCGGTTATCCAAGTATGTTAACTTTGAATACGTTGATTTCAATAATTTGCGTAATTTTCATATGGTTTAATATTGTATCTTATTTCATGTATAACATAAAAAGTATTTATTTGTATATATATTAAATGAGTTTTTCTTTTTTACTGATTGCCTTTAGGTCGGTCATATATTGAAAGGTTTGCCCAAAAGTTTGGCATAAACTACTCGCATGTTCGAGCAAGAATTGTTAATTGTCGTCGCATTCGGGTAAAAAATTGAAAAAAACAGCTAAGCTTTTAGAAATCGATGAATGATAAAAATATGGACATAGTTACATTATTTTATGCTGCATTTTGTTCGATTTTATTTCTTACTCGGCGCGCTAATTTTTTCACGTTTGTTTTGAAATTTTTGTTTTTGGTTTTTTATAAAAACACTTTCAATAAAAATTGTCTCAGACTATACAAATAAACATAAAAGTAATAATTTTTGTTGAGAAATTTATATATCTTAACTCAGTATTTCGATAACCTGCTGCAGAAAACAAACTGCTTTAGAATTTATTTGCATCCCGTTATATCTCCTACATTACTAATTAAATCTGCATACTCTCCAATTTCGTAAAAACATAATATTTCAGTATAGAACTTATAGCTTATAGTTTCAAGAAATTTTTTCCCCCGAAAATATGTTGTTTTACTAATACGCTAAAAGTTTGTTATAAAAGCACCAGTTTATAGTAGTATAAAATGTATGTATGAAACTTTTTAAAAAAAAAAGAATGTTGTCTTATTTAAAAAAAATAATTTTCCGGCTTTTATATTGATATATGTCAATATACGCAAATATTTTATATATTTGCGTATATTGACAACTAATTAAACTTTGCAGTTACCGTAATAGTCAACTTAAGGTAGATGCAATGTTACAAAACGTTATGGGGACAACAAAAACAACGCCAAAATCGTTAAGGCGACTAAAATTTTTGTATATTTTGGTTCATACAGTAAACTTGTAAGCTGTTTACCTTGCAAATGTGTTACAAGCCTCAGGCATTTTGCAGAGGGCAATTAAGAATCAAAAGGTGCATACTAATATACACTTGGATGCTATTATAATAATATTATACAAGGGTGGTCAACCAACTGAATATCATAGAAAAGTCAGGGAATTTTTTTCTAGTCAAGGAAATCATAGAAAAATGTCTTTTTTAAAGATTTAATTTTTTTTAAAGGTTTTATTTTACTTACTTCCAGACAACAAAACTTAAAAATTCACACTTTAAAATATAATTGTGTCTGGAAAAGAGATAAAAAGTCAGGGAATTTAATTGTTGATAGTGGCTGGCTACCCTGTATACATAATTTATATATATATATATATATATATATATATATATATATATATATATATATATATATATATATATATATATATATATATATATATATATATATGTATATATATATATATATATATATATATATATATATATATATATATATATATATATATATATATATATATATATATATATATATATATATATATATATATATATATATATATATATATATATATATATATATATATATATATATATATCTTAAGAACTATTTGACGCCAATCACGTCATTATAGAATACGGTTAAATGAACTTAAGTTATTATAAATTATATTTAATTAATGTGTTATAAAATCGGTTTTGTAGATCTTGAGTTGTGTTTGATTTAATATTTGATAAAAGCCGAAAATATTTAATATAGATTTATTTATTACGGTTTCACAACAATTTTATCAAATATTCTTTATTTACATTATGGATGCAAAAATATTTCAAAAAGTACTATGCGACGAACCAAACAAAGAAGAGTATATATACTGGAAAAAAAAATGCTATCAATTTATTTAGATAAAGCTAACATAGACGAAGATTGCAAACTCTAAGTTTTATTCGTTCTATCTGGTGTTAAAGCTCTCACAATAATTCAGGATACTTCATAATTTGATGATGCAATCAAAATACTTGATAACAAATATCAAAAACGAATAACACCTGTTATGATGCGCCGCAAACTTTGCTCTTTTAAACAAAAAGAAGGGGAAACAGTCGAAAGTTTCATGAGTAGCCTTAAACAATTCGCAAGAAAATGTCCAACAGAACCTCTAACAACAGAACAACAAATTAATTTACTAATATGCGACGCATTTGTTGCTGGAATTTACTCACCTTCTATTCGACAATGACTCCTCGAAGCTACAGAAGACAATCTCGAGGCACTTTATAAAACAGCGCTAACAATGGAATTAGCGAACCAAGATGCTCTTAATTTGACAACAACCATGACAGCTAATACTACGCTACCAACTTTTGCCGCAAGTTGTAACCTTACGAAATCTCATTGTTACTGGTGCGGTAATGATCCACATCCAAAAATTAAATGCCCAGCAAGAAATTCTATCTGTACACATTGTCAAAAAGGGGCCACTGGGAAACTGTCTGCCTCTTAAAGAAACAAAATAAGACCTACACTAAAGCAGCAGTTGTTAAGGAATATCACGAAGAAAACGATAACGCAATGGTATCTACGGTAATAGCAGCAATCAACTCACCTGATAGACTAATTAACGTCACCATTAACAAAAATATAACACAGGCACTGATAGGTACTGGCTCCGATAAAACGTTTATTACATCAAAACTTCTTCAACATTGGAACCTTCCTTACGATAATCAATCTACCTCAAAAGTATCATTAGCAGATAATTCGACATTAAAAGTTAAAGGAATCTTCCAAGGCTCATTGTTATTAGCTTGCAAAAAATTGAAAGTGCAATTCCTCTTTGTAGACAATTTGGTAGCACCAGTAATTATCGGAATGGACGTGTTAACACAACATACCTCAATTACGATCAATTTTAAAGGGAATAAAGAGGCCTTAAAGTTCTGTCTGGCAACAAAGAGTATGAAGTGTACTACTTACGCATTGATACCTGGAGTGGATATTGACAAAATTAAGCCAGTCGCTACAACATCACGACGGGTTCCTAAAAATAACTCCTTCATAACAGACGAGATAAACCGTATGTTAAAGCAAGATATAATCCAAGTAAGCCGTAGTCCTTGGCGTGCACAATGTTTTGTAGTATCATCAGGAAACAAAAATCGTCTTGTGATTGATTATTCAAATACAATCAATCTACACACTCCACTCGATTTATACCCAACACCTCGAATCGACGATTTGATACTTAAGATAGCAGCTCATAGAGTCTTCAGTACAATTGACCTCAAATTGGCTTACCATCAGGTAAAAATACAACCTGAAGATTACAAGCTAACCGCATTTGAAGCAAATGGCAGACTATACGAGTTTAAACGTTTACCTTTTGGTTGTACAAATGCTGTGCCAGTTTTTCAGCGGGTTATGGATGAATTTATTCAAAATAATAAACTAAAAAATACATATGCGTACCTCGATGATATAATTATTGGTGGAAAAGATGACCAAGAGCACGATAAAAATCTTAGCCGTTTCCTACATGCTGCTCAAATTGCTAACGTAGAAATAAACAAAGAAAAAAGCAAATTTAAAAAAACTCATATCGAATTCTTAGGCCATATCATCGAAAATGGAACCTTAAAACCCGACCCTAAAAGATATGAAGCTCTGATAAATATGCCAGAACCAAATTTTTATTCGCCTATTACGCTAAATGGATACATAACTGTACCGAGTTTACTCTACCGCTTACTCAAGCAAGAGACAACTTTCCAACAAAGGGCTTGACCCCACAGGCAAAAGAAGCAATTAAAAAGCTCAAAATTTAACTTGCAGAAACTTGTCTAGCCTCCCCGAATTTCAAAGTTCCACTAACTATTGAAACAGATGCCTCTGACACAGCACTGGAAGAAACGTTACTTCAACTAGGCAGACCCGTGGCCTTCTTCTCAAGAACACTATCAAACGCTGAAAGAAAACACGCAATTGTCGAGAAAGAAGCAGCTGCTATTGTAGAATGCTGTAGAAGATGGAAACACCTAATTAATTCAGTACCATACATCATTATAATTACAGACCAAAGATTCATTTCCCTTATTTTCAATAAACAGATTTCAACAAAAATTAAAAAACGAAAAACTGACACGATGGCGTTTAGAATTAGCAGATATTAATTATACAATTTCATACAGACCAGAAAATCAAAATATCGTAGCCGATGCCCTTTCTCGATGTTGCTCAATTCAAAACACCAATAAAACCTTTTACAATATTCACTCCCAACTCTGTCATCCTGGAATTAAAAAAATGATACATTATTGCAAAACCCGAAATCTACCTTACTCTACCATTGAAATTAAACAACTAATAAGCCAATGTACAACCTGTAACGAACTCAAACCGCGCTTCTACAAACCTCCAGCTGGTTGTCTTATTCAGGCTACGAGACCTTGGAAACGCTTATCTATGGATTTTGTTGGACCTCTACAATCCACCTCAGCTAAAAAATACATCCTCGTGATAGTAGACGAATACTCTCGTTACCCATTTGCATTCCCTTGTAAGGATATAACAGCTAACACTGTGATACAACACCTTCTCAGTCTTTTTTCATTATTTGGTGCACCATCATCCATGCATACAGATCTAGGAACACAGTTTGAAAGTATATCACTTAAAGTTTTCCTAGAAAGAAACGGTGTCATCCGAACTCGAACAATCCATATCACCCACAAGGCAACGGTCAATGTGAAAGAATGAGTGGAACAATACTTAAAGCTATTAGTCTGGCCCTAAAAACATTGAGTCTGGGAAAAGATAGATGAGAGGTAGCTTTGCAAATGGCTCTATCCTCTATAAGAAGACTTCTGTGTACTGCTACGAACGAGACACCTCATTAGAGGATGATGAACTTTCAGCGTTCATCAATAATAGGTACAGTTCTACCAAACTTCTTAACAGAGCAGGATTCAACAATTTTATACAGACGTCAGATACGATTAAAGGGAGATCCACTTGTCGACAGAGTCAACTACTTGAAACAGTATCGCCTCACTTTGCACGCGTGAAACTTCAAAATGAAAAAAAATTGATACAGTTTCAACAAAAGATCTTGCTCCACTACAAGATAGAAATCCCTTAATAGAACCAGTCCAACAACACCCCGAATGCTCGAACAACAACGAAATTGTCATTAGTAGCAAGAATAACAATTCAAAAAAACAAGTTGAATTAAATGATACCAACGAAGTAGTTTCGAACCTACTGCATCCGTTTGGTAATCCAATAAAAGATAGCTTCTCTTATGATCAATCAACTACAACAGTACCTAACCAACCATCTATTCAAAAGGTTGTTACTCCTGACACATAACCTAATATAATCTCACGAACAGGACATACTATTAAAAGGCCAAAGTATCTCGACGACTACTTTCTTTCTTAGAGTATTATTCAAGAGTAAGCCGTACTAAAACTTTCTTAAAACGGAGAAGACTGTTATATTCTTAAGAATTATTTGGCGCCAATCACGTCATTATAGAATACGGTTGAATGAACTTAAGTTATTCTAATTATATTTAATTGATGTGTTATAAAATCTGTTTTGTAGATCTTGAATTGGTTTTGATTTAATATTTGATAAAAGCCAAAAATATTTAATATAGATTTATTTATTACGGTTTCACAACAATATATATATATATATATATATTTATATATATATATATATATATATATATATATATATATATATATATATATATATATATATA